CCGTTCCCAGGAAATAGCCATTAATTTCCACGTCTGCGAATCAATGTACTGTCCTCCGATGAAACGGGAATCGACTGACTACGCCGTCCCTGTAAACGGAGTCCCAGAGTGATGGTTCCGTGGTCGTATTACTCTCGATTCGCCATGAGCCTGTAACCTGGAGAAATTTGCTGCTGGGGGAACGTCCAGTGTCGTTTTTATCATTAAAATCCGAAGCCGAAAACGATCAGAGCTATCAAAAACGAAAATCTAGGCAAAAATGATGACAAACAGAAAGCTGCAGTAAACATAAACAACAACGGTGAAACGTAATTGAATGTATGCGTTAAAGTTACACTGTTAATTTTTTTTTTGCTTTGTAGCTTTCCGCTTGACAGTTAATATCATTAATATTTATACTAAAATCTATAATAATTACCTTTTTGTGCAATTTTTACACCAAATATTACTTCAGATCAAGTTGTACTTCCCCTAGTTCTGATCACCTTCCAGTAACTTTTGAAATATCCCAAGAAATAATGTTTAATCCCAACAGCCAAGCATGGGAAAATTCATTCATTCGCGCGAGTGCCACAGAATCAAAATAGCCATCCTCACCTACAAACAGATTGCCGAACGAGTGTAAATTCTTCCAACCAAGTGACTCTGCAGGTCGACTCAGAACTGACAGCAGTAGAAGAAAAGAAGGATAAACTGAAAGGCAGCCGAAAAATGTTCTCTACCGAAGGAGAACCAGATTGAATGCGTAAGATCCGAATGCTAACGATTTAAATAGCCGAGTCAGATAGTTTTTGGCTCACTGATTTAAATCAGTTGAATTGGCCACAGCAGTTTTACGGTATTTGCTTGACGCCTATAAACATAGGCGTGTTACAGTATAACCAACAATCAATACGAAACTAACGATTTTAAATTGGCTCACCACTTTAGTAGCCTATTGGTCCCAAGCAAACGATTAACGTACCCTATTCTAGTTGAAATTCTATTACTACACTATGTTTGTTTTGATTCGCTATGAAAGTTTGACAGATAACATCAGGGGTGTGTGGATTCATGCAGAACATGCAGGGGTGAGTGAAATAGCTTGGGACTGCTTGGGACCGTTGTTCTGGTACTGAGTGAGCCAAAAATAATAATGATTTTCTTCGGGACCCAGTGGTCTTAGAGTTACCTCTATGGTATAACCGTTTTCTCCATATTAACAGCAATTTAAATGTGTCAATGTATGTTTAAAGCTAGAAAATAGAAAGTGATTCTTTCTGCAAAATTCTCATTCAGCTCACTCAGCAGAATGCAATCGTAAAAGGCTCAGCATGGCAAAAATAATAAAAGAGAAATCATCCATACTACTACACTCAGAATCATTCATGTTACGCTCAGCTGTCTGTTCTGCTCAATTCTGCGTTCATCGAAGAAAATAGAAGCAATGCGAATACGAACGAAATCAGTGCGGCTCGCACAAACTGCTGTTCGTTTCTGATGTTGTATACGTGTGAGTGAGTAGTGAATGCAAAATGAATCGATTTTTCCCATGATTGCCAACAGCTCTACTTTCAATTACCATAGAGCTGATGGGAAGCAATATCGAACATTTATGGAATATAGCTTTGATCCAAATATACCTTTGCAAACCAAAGATGAAATTAATTATGCTATTGAATCTCTGACTACTTCTATAGTTGAAGCAAGAGTTGCCTCAGTGCCAAAATGCGAGGTTAAATTCGATTCAATTATAATACCTAGACAACGATCTTCAGCTCTTGATCCGTCTTAAAACTGTCCGTAGAAGGCAATATCAAAACGATTACCTGCCCTGAGGAAAAAACTTTTGAAAATAATGTTTCTAAATTAGACCCAAGTTACAAACCCTTTTGGAAACTCACAACATTTTTGAAAAAAAAAAACCTCAAGCCTTTTCCAGCGCTCAGCCAGTAAAATTTTGATCAGCGTCACACTGAGTTTAATGTCAAATTTATTAAATTTTTAGCAAAATGAGCATAGTTTAATTTTTTAGCAGTGTATAGTAGGATCAGTTTACAGTAGACACGCATAGAGTAGTTATATCACAACATTTTAATGCACTCCAATAAGTTTTTCATTGAAAGTCTGAAATCAGCAGCGATTATTTCTCTTTCGGTTTTATGACGCAAATTTGAGAACAAGTTTTCATCTGAATACAAATCGACTGTGTTTCACGTATCTATAAGAAACTCAAAAACTTTTCTATCAGTTGTTTCAAGAAAATCCATGTTTCATCAAGTGAGTGCAGAGGTATTAACAAATATGCAATTTGTGCGAAAAAAAAATGAGTATGCCAACCCTGTCTGTACTAATGTACAATTTTCCCAGCTACAACTATGCTGAAGATGACTTTTGATTGTATTTCATAATAATTCATTACTGAAGATGCTTTTCTAGTAACATGCTCCATCAGCTCAGCAGGGCAACATTAGTGTATTTGGCGCGAAGAATAGGGCAAACAATCCAGGCTACTATGTCATAAGTGCAAGATGCAGTGTTGCCCTGAAAGCAGTCGATTAAGCTCCCGTAACCTCACTTTTTACCTGTGCACCAGCTTTCAAAACCAGATTTAATGCCATATTCAAACGAGAGTCGTTTGCAAAATGCACTTAATCTTAAAGTTACTCGATATGTCTTTGTAATAAGAATTTGCTATAATCAATTTCCCTTTTTTTTTGTTTCGTTTGTTACAACTTTCAATTAATGTTTCAACTTCGTTCTAGTATTGTATTTTGATATACTAAGTACTACCATTCTCAACCCTCTGCAGGGGTTTTTGGGGCTGAGAAAGGTAATAATAAAAAAATGAAACAGAAAAATATAACACGATTTTTTGAATCTGCCCCTAAACTCAAGCTAATATTGAATCCCGAGCAAGGCCGGGCACAATTAGCTAGTATCTTCTAAACATAATACATGGTATAGGTGCACGTTTTCCCTTGCAGGGGAGTATGACAACGGTATAAAAACGATACTTTTTAATTCATTTTGTAAATATTAAGAGGGCTAGAGAGGAGAACTAGGATTATTACATATAAAAATGGTTTTAACCATAGGGTGGTGATCTTGCCCCGTCATAACCTACAATAGCACATAAATTGTACATTATATTGGTTACGAGTAGGCATCTTCTTCTTCATTGGATTTATTACGTCCCCACTTGAACTACGCCGGTTCTCGTAAGCATTTCCACAGTTGATAATGGAAAGCGTCCTAAGCCTGTACAATTTGTGCCTTTTGACACTGATGCAAGTTTTATTTTATCATTATTGAAGAAGCAATAAAAAATTCAGCCCTGTTTAATTTTTTTTTCTTGATTTTTTTCCGTCGATCTTGTTTTCCGTGCTGAGCACCAATGGTACCGACGCCAGGGAGGCAGCTCCAACACCTGGACCCTACCTATCGATCCATCAACTCAAGAACCGGAAACCAACGGCTTTACTTCCCCGTGATCAGAGATGTTATGCCTCAAAACATCCCGGCGGCGCCGACTGGGGGTGAACCCAGGCCTGCTTGGGTGAGACGTAATCACGCGTACCACTTCAACACCGGCGCCGCTGTATTCAAAATCGTCACTCGCTCTGCATTTCCTAATTTTTCCTAAAATTACACAAATTCTTTTTTTTTTAATTATAAATTTATTAATTTATTAAATGAGTTGTTTAGCAGCCATTATTTTTTTGCCCCTTATTATTTATTTTTTAACCCCCCTCCAGCTATTCGAGCGATGTCGGACTACGTTCAGACTACAGAGTTATAACATGTTTTTATAATTGGGTTCTTTAAGGGTATTGAGGTAAAAGCATATTCGTAATCTGCATTAAAAATGGTACCCAAACGCAAAATTTCATCAATTTTGGTACACTGGTACTATTTTAAATAAGTACGATTACATTTGCAAAAAATAACCTTATTAGCGCCCCTCTGTGTCACTTTGTATGAGAGCGAGCTGTCAGTTTGTTAGTTTAGTGTCAAACAGTGAAGTTATTATTTTGCTTTAAATCTTGATTTAAAAATCGAGATAAAAGTGTGTGGGTTCGAAAAAAATATCGCTGTGCTCCGAAAACGAAGCTCTTTCAGATGATGTATAAAAAAGATACATTTTTCAAAATTAAAGAACCCAATTATCGACAAGATTTTTTTTATGTCATCAAGATAGGCTTATAACATGTGATTGCTGCTCAGTTTGGCCAGAATCTTATTGTGTAGCTATTACAATCTTACCCTATGCCAAGGGAAGTCGAGAAATGTTTCAACCCCGAAAAATACCGCACCGGGAATTGAACCCAGCTGCCTCCAACATGGTGGTATTGCTTTATAGCTGTGACATACCGACTGAACTGGCACAAACTTGACCGGTTTACACCAATTGACCACTTTGTCAAGCAGTTTTGGCGTGACTTTCTACCAGCGATTTCACAAAACTGGACCAAATAATTTATATTTTTTTATGAAACGCACAAATTTTCGCAACTTTTCTCGAGGTTCTAGAAGAAAAAATCTCAAAATAATGTTTTTTTCAAAGTTCGAGTGGTAGTAAGCGTCATTTTAAGTGCATTATGAACCATCACAAATGTAAACAGGACATGTAGATTTTGTCTATTTTTTGTTATCTTATTACCATATTTAATGTATTCCAATTTTTAGCGGCTTTACCATTCTACAAAATGTGCCTGCCAATATTTTACTGAATATCAAACACAATATTGGAGGAAACAAAAATACTTGGCAAAAATGCAACTTAATAAATAAAACAACTGTGATAAACAACTTTAGGTCAACTCAACACATTAAGAAAAATCTGGAAGCTGGGTTGCTCTACTTTCCATAAATATATTGGGCTAATTTTAACTGTGTCGTTCCATCCGAAGCCGAAATAATATAACTAGTTTGAACAAGAATTCAACATCTAAAACTATCGGTCTGCAGCCAAGACTAATAACGTTTACACTGTATAACAACTAAACATTAATACTTACAACAAGAAACTCATTTTGTATTCCGCGAATGGCAAATATGATAAGCCTGTTCTTTTTTCTCTCCTTTCTGTGTTCGGAACCACTGGACGACGCAGGAAGAAAGTCGCCGACAGAAAATTTCACTTCTCCCACGTTTAGTCCAGCACAACCGGAAAAGTAACACGCGTAACAGACGGATAACAAACAAATTTAACAAATAGTATACAAACAAGAGGCTTTTAATATAATATTGGATCGGAAAATTAAACAAAAGTTCGCACACAGAATAAAATGTGAAAATTTTAACTTTTCTGTTTGCTCTGTCTCTGGTGTCTTCTTTCCACGGATTCTTCTTTGTCAAATCGATGACATTTCTCCGAAAGGTTATTAGATAAAGGTAGGTCGTTGTGAAAAAACAACAGGCCCGAGAACAGGCCGGTCAATTATTACGCAAAGCAAATGTACACGCTATTTCAAAACCCCCCAAATTTGGGTAGAATCCGCCCAGATATGTCAAAACTGAACCTACCCAAAAATGGGTAAACTGTGTTGGGAGTGACAAGTTGACAAATGAACAACATCGATCAGATTCATGTCAATGTTGTTCATTTGTCAACTTGTCACTCCCAGCACAGTTTACCCATTTTTGGGTAGGTTCAGTTTTGACCGATCTGGGTGGATTCTACCCAAATTTGGGGAGTTTTGAAATAGCGTGTAAGGTGGGATCCGAGGTGGGATCTGGGCGTTTCAAATTCGGTTTCAAATCCAAATCTAGATAGGGCTGGAATTAGGGCTTCTCTCGTTGATTTCTCGGAATTCAAGACACGCCTACACAAATCTTTATGCCCAAAGTCTTGTTCTACTCGATGGTGATGTCGATTTGCCAGAGAGAGCCACGGATTCCGAGAAATCATCAAGAGAAGTCATTATTTACAAAAGCTATTACGCCCTAATTCCAATATATATCTACAGTACCAACATTTCAAAAGGGCAAAACTGACAAATGTAAATAAACTGAGTTTTGACGTAGGACTACGTCTGTGATTTCTATATGGGGGTAATAATTTTACCATCAATCGATCAGAAATATCTCTACGCATCTGTTTAACTAAAGACTTTGTCATTTCTTATAATATCACCATTGAAAATTGCACGAATAAAATTATCACCGATTGCCTTCGAAAAGCGATTTTCCTAACACAGATTTCAAAGTCGAATTCCATGCGGTCTTACTAAACGGTGTTTATTCAATCACTGCGTGGTGAGTGGTGGTGTTCTCCAGTACACAACTAAAGGCTGCCTGCAAGCAGTGAGTTGTAGCCCACATGAGCATCTATGGGAAGAAGAAGCCACATTGATCAGAATCAGTAGCTCTTCGTGATTCGCTATGGGCCATCTATGTCAAGCGCGTCATACTAAAGAGTATTAACAGAGAGAACCTCGCTAAAATTCCTATTCTTACAAAAAACACACGTTCCTGCTGCAGCTAACAAATAAGATATTTTATTTTATAAGACCTACGTCACCATTGCGTACAACCCCATAGGGCTGTCCCTTGTAGTTTTTGTTTTATCACACAAAAAACAAAAATTGTTGCTTTAAGAATAATGCATGATCAAATTAAAAGTTTCCCAAATTTCGTAGTTTCAACTATGAAATTTTACAAATGTAAAATAATTTTTTTGATTTAAAAGTGTTTCTTTCACTTTCGGCTTGTAATTTTAAAAGTCTATTTTTTAGAATAAAAGTTGTAAAATTGTCAAAAAATCTCTTCCTTGCGATGTGTTTGACAGTACTGGACCTGTGTTTCCCGCTTAATTGGACATGCAAAACAAACAAACAAAACAAAAGCAGCTGTGAGAATTAGCATGAGCAGCAGCAGTTTCTTGAACTTTTCCACATTTTCATCCACCGGTGCGCTTGTTTCTCTTCTGTAAGATACAAATAATAAGATGGAGACATTCGTGTTGACGCTATGAAGTGGAAGGATTGGAAGGATCCTCCAGCGGCGGGATTTGGAGGTAAGATGATGAAATTTTCGAAGAGTTTGCTTGGTTCCAATTTTCCTAATTGATGTGTTTTGATTTTCAGCAGCCTCGTCAGAATTGCCGGAAAGGAAGGCTACTCCCACCATCACCATCACCAGCTGTTCAGCCAACTGTATATTTGCGTAATACGCTTCCCATGCTTTGAAGTTCCATAATGCCGTGCCCTTTCAGTCAGCATCATATAATTAAACTAAAATATATTAAATTAAATATTTCTATGCTTTATTTCTATCAATGTAAAAAGCAATTGAATTAAAAAGAATTCATATTTGAAATGAAAAACATAAATCATTGCGATAAAACTGCCCATCTTTTAAATTAAATCCTTTCATAAGTCTTTTTAACAAAATAGGTTTTCATATTGACAGTTCTACAATTCGATTTGAAAATTTCAACTTTTAAAAGTAAAAAACGAGTTACTTTTGAATTAACAGTTAGCTGACTTTTGTTTTGAAAGCTAAAGACTTTCTACCAAAAAGAACCAACGGAAACTTTTAATTCTACCAATGGATTTTTCAATTTTACTAACGATAATTTTTTGTGTGTAGAAATGGACAGCAAATGATGCAACACTATGAACAATTTCACAAAAAAAAAACATGTTTTGTCCGAGGTTTTGTCACCCATTTACAAAAAGGCGTAACTAACTTTTGTAGTTTAAAGGGTGATACGGTCAAAATTTGGTCAAGGGAAAACGCGTGTAAATCGGTGAAATCGTTTATTTAAAAAATCAAATTAAATTTCTTTTTCAAGTTCAATTAGTATAAAATTCAGGAAAAATATTCAGTTAGGCTTCCGCTTTTCCAAATCCGAATTGCCGGGCCTTACGCTTGACCCCTGCCATCAGATTTTGTACAGCCACCTTGTCCACCTTCTTCGCCGCAGAAAGCCAGTTTGCCTTGAACTGCTGCTCGCCCTTAGCAGTTTTTTTGGTCTTCTTTAGGTTCCGCTTGACAATAGCCCAGTATTTCTCAATTGGGCGGAGCTCTGGCGTGTTGGGAGGGTTCTTGTCCTTGGGAACCACCTGCACGTTGTTGGCGGCGTACCACTCCATGGCCTTTTTACCGTAATGGCAAGATGCCAAATCCGGCCAAAACAGTACGGAACAACCGTGTTTCTTCAGGAAAGGCAGCAGACGTTTATTCAAACACTCTTTCACGTAAATTTCTTGGTTGACAGTCCCGGAAGCTATGAAAATGCTGCTTTACAAGCCACAGGTACAGATGGCTTGCCAAACCAGATATTTCTTTGCGAACTTTGACAGTTTCATGTGCTTGAAAACATCTGCTACCTTTCCCCTTCCTTTTGCCGTATAAGACTCCTGTCCCGGAAGCTGCTTGTAGTCGGCTTTGACGTAGGTTTCGTCGTCCATTACCACGCAGTAAAACTTCGTCAGCATCGTCGTGTACAGCCTCCGGGATCGCGCTTTGGCCGTCGTATTTTGTTTATCATCGCGATTTGGAGTCACTACCTTCTTGTAAGTCGATAGTCCGGCTCGTTTTTTGGCTCGATGCACGGTTGTAGACGATACACCCAGCTTATTTGCGGCATCTCGGAGAGAGAGGTTAGGGTTTCGCTTGAAACTACCGGCAACTCTCTTTGTCGTCTCAGCGGCTTCCGGTTTTCGATTTCCCCCCGATCCAGACTTCCTGGCTGTCGACAAACGTTCCCCAAACACTTTAATTACATTTGTAACGGTTGATTTGGCAACTTTTAGCGATTTTGCCAACTTTGCGTGCGAGTAGCTCGGATTTTCGCGATGCGCGAGCAAAATTTTGATACGCTGCTCTTCTTGCTTGGACGGCATTTTGACAACTGAAGAGTGAATTCCAAAATCAAAATAGGAGCAACATTCTACACACACACACCTTCAAAATGAGGGGTGTTCAGGTTTTTTAAATGCAAAATTGAAAGAAATACGTCAAGTTGATATTGACCAAATTTTGACCGTATCACCCTTTAGTATAGTGAAGTTAATTTCACCCCTCGGTTTGTTCACCATCAGTGAGGACGAAACTGCATCCAGGTTTGAATTGTTGCCTAATTTTTGATTTCCGTATTTTTGATGGTTTTCATGCGAATATTGCAGTATTTTTTATGTATAACATAGTCTCGTAGCCATAGCGTTTACAACGGTGAAAAATATCTCCCAGGGTACTCCACCTACATATTTCTAGTTGTAGTTGCTAAAATGCATTATTCTCAAATGAATATTACAAGATTGCCCACAACTCAAATTACCTTAAGATTAGAAACCCCAGAACCCGATTCGGATATGTTGTTTTCACGGTTCCAAATTAAAGATCATGAATCATGTCCATGAATCGTCACAAATGGAAAACCAGCTGCAGGGTCAATTCGCTGCTATCGACGTACAATAGATCCCGCTGATTTCTGATGGATGAAACAAACATAAAACCAACGCAATCAGCATCATTTCCTTGATCCTTTGTATGGCACCACTTAAGGCCCACGCACATTAGATCCGGTTTGGACGCGTTGCGGCAAAGTGACAGCTAAATCTATTGTCTGACTATCAAATTTACGTCAACGTAACGCAAACGGATCTAATGTGGGTGGCCCTTTAGGAGCAATTTCTTACTGAAAAGTACCCGCACACAAGTGGCCTCCGTTTGATCTAGCATGTTCAGTTTCTATGGTTTTTGCGAGGGGCAATTCACTGCTCTCGAGAATAAATCGAAAATACGCAAAAAAAAATGCAAAAAATACAAAATTCGGAAAAAAAATACCAAAATATTCGACGAATAATAAAAATACACGATCATTCGTCATTTGGACGAAAAAATCGAAAATATGTAAAATCAAAATGCTGAATTCGAACAAAATGCGTAAATTTATTATTTTGTATTTTAATTCGAGCTCGAATCACAAAACAATGCATTAATGAGTAGAGTTTCGCCCATTTTTAAGAAAAGTGTCTTAAATCATTTATTAAATAAAAAAAAAACATTTTGAGTAGTTGTGAGCCACAAATAAGTAACGTTTATTCATTAATGCGTAACAGATGCTTATTAATGCGTAATGAGCGAGGTAAGGGGCTGTTCATAAACTACGTAGACAATGATTACCGGTGCACGCAGAAAAAAACTATGGTCGAAACAAAAATATTTGAGGTAAATTTAAACGTAAACTCAGTTTGTTCTGGCCACAAACATAAATTAGGTTGATTTTAAACGTATTCCATGTTTGAAGTCATGTGAAATCAATGTTTAAAACAAAAATAATGTTACGTTTATTTCAAAAATATTCGTGTTGAAAATAAACGTATTTATTTTTGGTTGGTTTGACAGCTATGCGAGCAATAATAAATATGTTTATTTTAAACATGCTTCTCATGTTTAAAATAAACATACATATTTTGAAATTATTTTAGTAGTTGAGTGCAGGGTAAAGCAAAATAAAACGGTTTGCAAAGAAATTAAAAAAAAGATATCTTAATTCCTGCTCTTTTTCGGGTGCGATTAAGGGTGAGCTGTGGGTATTGGGGTCCTGGTCCGGGATGCGATGACCCGTCAAGGTGGGTGTCCGTGGGTTCCAGATCAGTGGAACCGGCACAAATGTGTGTTAATAACGTCGTTTTGCCGTTTCTGCCTCGATTTCTGCCACTGGTCCTCATACCGATTTCTTTCTATGTTCGATATCGGAGGAGAATCCGGAATGGATTCGGAATGGATGGCCGTTTTCTGTTGAGGTTGAGGCTGGGGCAACTTTTTACGAATGTAACAAGAAGGAAATAAAAAGGCATGACACGCTAAAAACTGTTTACCCAAGTCTTAAATTGTTGAAATAAACATGCTTTTGAATTTTATTCAAACATAAATATTTTAGTTTTAAACATGCTTTCAATTTACTTTGAATAATTCATATGTTTAGAGTACAAACATTTATATTTTTGTTTTAAATGAACAAAATTCGTATCCGTGTGGGAATCTTGGAAGAAGTTATAATGACGAGCACGTTTCAGGATGTGCTGGATGAAATTCAACCAGTCGCGCTGTTTAATGATAATCGGTGTTTAACTTTCCGTACAGGGCCGTCATGATGATCAAGTCTGCTCGTCGTCCCGGAAGAGTTCATACAGCAGTAACCTCGGCAGTAGAGGCGTCAAGGTGGCATACATACCTCAAATATTTTTGTTTAACGATAAATTTTTCTGCGTGCACAGTAGGAGGAATTTATGGTTGATTGTCAAATTTACTTTGACATGAGATTTTGACATCCAGATGCTTTTTAATTGGGTCATGGCCCAACTAACGAGCCCCCAACGAGCGAATCTCCACTGTAATTTTGTTGTAATGCTTTATTACCGATCACCTTACAAGCTTGGTAGAAACCCCTCGAAAAAACCCCTCGGTATTAATAGATCGGTAAAACATATTATATTCGAACCCGTTGAACCGTTCGGTAAATCAAAAGTCCTCGTTCCAAACAAATCAAAATAAAAGCAAGTGAAACACGCCCATCGTGTTTGACGTTTGTCAGCCTTTCTTCATCACATTTTAAGGCAATGAAGAGTAGTGAAAAATACATTTAAATTTGCTAAATCTTAGGAAATCGGCTAATTAATTTCTTTTACTTATCACGTAAATAAAGCTATTTACGTCCTTTGTAGTGGAAGCTGTTGTTTTATTAATTAATATAAATAGTGAGTATAAAATTTACATGGGTTTGACCATCAACTCAATATCCGTCCGGTTTGTCCGGGGTTATGTTACATAAATTCTGTAACTCTTCTACAGCCGGAATGTATTGGTATGTGTTGATAAATAAGGCATGAAATTCCCTTTTTCAGATGTTAAGCCTGCACAGATTCGGTCGAAACTTTGGATTTTGTATATTCAAACGAAATTTCAGCGCCCCAGTGGCTCCATTTGCCTCACACGTTACTCCGGACGAAGGAAAGATCGATGATACCCGAACGGCTGATACTTTGATTGTGGGTCGCGGCAAGAAGTTTGCAAAGGTGGCAAATACAGCTCAGGCTGCTAAAAGTTAGTGCTTCAAGGTGCGGTGTTGTATAAATGGAATAGTTAAGCAATACTTCATTTTTAGATCCAATAGTTGCAGCGGCTTTTGCATCCTTGCTTCAAGAAGATCGCAGCCAGGATGACTCAAAAGGTGGTGCTGTTTTCAATGAAATCAATGACAAAATTATCAATGCTGATTCCGTGAATGATTTACTTGCAATTCCCGGTCAGACAAAAGTTACGCGGAAGCAGGCTTTGAAGGTAGTTCGTATATAGTTAATTCATTGACTAAGTTGATTGAGTTTCTTGATTTTCTGTAATAGATTGTTTCAATTTTGGCGGAGTGGAGCTCAATACAGAAAGTGAAACTATCGGACTTTGAAAATGATAGCCGCTTTGTTCAACTGTGCAATGTTCTGGGCAGAACAAATAATCGAAACAGTGCGTCCAAGTCTCAATCCTCTGTGTCCCGTTCCGCCGTCAGTTTGTTACAAGTGGACGATTTACAAACCGTGCTGGGTGTGACGGCAAATGATGAAGCCGCAAAGCTGATAACGGGACTGACGATGCCGCAAATGATCAAGGTGATGTCGTCTTTGGCACAGAAGAAAAAACGAAGTACCCCATTGCTGCGGTCGCTTGCTTTCAACATAAGCAGTAATACAAATAAACTCAACCTCAAGGAATGTGGAGATTTATTGTACGCAATGGCAAGTCTCAATTTTCGTGATACGGTGCTTACGGCGCGAATTTGCGTTGATGTGGAATCGGAACTATCAGAAAACAAAGACAAACCAGCCCCTATTGGATCTATTCTGACTAGCTTGAGTTTGCTGAGGTACCGAGATACAACTATACTAGATTTACTTTCCGAATGGATAGTTGCTAATAGTGAAATCTGTAAACCATCGCATGTCAGTGCGTTGCTACTGTCTCTAGCAACGTTAAGCCACGATCCATCTAATATGGAATCCGTTAAAGCGAAACTAGTCAGCAGTCTATCAGAAAGTGATTTCATCAAGCCCACCGATTGGTTGAATACGGTTTGGTCACTAGCAGTATTGAACTGTGCTTCAAGCCAACATTTAGCATCGGTGATGAACACAAATTTCATCAGTAGTTTGGAAAATGAACGGAATGGCGAACTGTCTCCTGCGATCAAAATGAAACTTTTAAATCTGAATGCTTTCGCTACGCTTGTGGAACCAAAGGTGACGAGTGAATTGAACATGAATGACCCAAAGTTCTTTGTTCCAATCGACGCTTCGAAGGAAAAGCGGGTACTTATTGCGGGCATGCTGGACGCGCTCAAAAGTTTGCTGCCGTCGGAGAACCACGTCAAGATTAACCAGCGTACATCAATGGGTTTCGCCATTGGTATGTATTTCTTTAACTTTATCCTTGCCATGAACACAGTAACTCAATCAGTTGACATCTTTTTTGAACTTTATGCTGTTTATCCTGCATATGTTCATTGTCCTTAGGAAACTATTGTGTAGCGCTCAAAACAGCAGTTTTAACGAGTCTGGTACATTTGGCGTAAGGATATTTAGCATAACGGACACACTTGACATAATCGTTACGAATAGAAGATTCTTGAAACTAAAAGTTAATTAATAACCAAAGACTACTCCTTCTTTTAATTGCTGCTCATTCTTTCGCATAGAATTGTTATTTTTTTTAACCCGAATATGTAATAAAGAAGGCAGCATTATTTTCTTTGAATATTTCATATGGAAGAGTAGTACTAAATGCTTCCTTCTTTAAATATTCATGCATTGTGCGTGAGCGCTTAGAATATTATTACGTATGAGCGGTATGAGCTATGTCTAATATTGCTGCAGTAGAGTTTTCCTTCTTTCAAACATGATCAGTTATTCCGAGGTCTTTAATTACCATGGAAGAACGAGGATATTGTTAAAGAACAAGCAGCAATTAAAAGAAGGAATAATCATGGATTGTAAATGTCAATTATGTTAAAAGTTTCATAAATAATATTATGTCGAATCATAGCAATTATGCCAAGCGTCCATTATGCCAAATGTACCAGACGCGTTTTAAGGACACGATGGACGGAATTCTTTTCTCATACAAGTTTGTTTTGCCACTTCGTATTTTCTCGAACGCACTTTTTGGGATCTGTACATTCAGTCACCTCAGTATTATGTTAGTTAGTCACTATCATGGGTCAGTCAGTTCTGCGTGTTAATCAAAAGGAAGTGGCTCACTATTGTGGGTGATCCATAATACTGGGGTAACTATTATAAGTATAGTACTTATTGTATGAAATTTTCAATTAGAATGTAGGTAGCTCAGTGTTTGTTTGCTGCATAGAAGAGAGACAAGCACCGAGTTTACCGCTCACTTTAGAGCAAAATTATGAATACAAAGTTAGTATAATAATTTCTACAGGTGTACACACAGAGAAATGATTTTTATATTCAAATGGATATATTTTTGGCTCAGGGCCTAATATATTTTTGGTATTGATTCAAATATATTATTCGATTAGTTCAAAGAAAAATATTTTTGAATCAACAAACCGGTTGTAGAGTCAATAATCTGTTTGTTGATTCCAAAAACCATTTTGTTGATTCAAAAATATGTTTCGTTGAAATAGTGATACAATATGTTTGAATCAATAACAAAATACATTAGGCCATGAAACAAAAATCCATTTTTCTGCGTGTATATAGAATATGTTTACATAGGAATACAGGAAAAACATAAAACTTAAATAATAATGCTATCAATAATGATTTTGAGACTAATTAGGAAATGTAAACAAGGGGTCACCGCTCATTCCATAGTGGAAATATTTCCTTTTATAATAATTTTTAACATGATATATAATTTGTTATTTGTGGAGGCTTAAAATGTTGATTGCAAAGTCGCGTTTATTATGAAATTTTGGTCGTAATGACTTTTCATGTTTATGTTTAGAGTGAGCGGTAAACGAAACCCTCGATTGAGGTTGGGTCTCCATTCACCACACATATGGATGTAAACAAAAGTTACTTTTTTCGACAATAATTAGTGCAATAATGTGTAGAACGCTACTTATTTTGTAAACTTTTTCAGTAAATTTTGAAAAAAAGAGCTGGTAATGAAGGTCGAGCGATTGAAGGTACTTCTAGATGATAAGATTAGAGCCTCTGAAAACGCTAAGGACCTTGTCCTTAAATGATAATATTCAACAACCATCAAACTGTCCAACATTAGGTCAGCTGTTCAATATACTGTTTACATAGTAATTGGGTATTATCGGAGACAACAAATCAAGTAGACTGGCAACTTTGCCAGAATCCAAGCGACAGATACAGTAGCGCTACACTTGAGTGAAGGTGGAAGCAACGCATAGAAGAATGAGCAAATACACAAACCCTTCTTCTGAGGATTTAATCTTTGCTATCAAATTCGTTCGATGCATTTATCTTTGAGCGGCAGATGACGCGATTGTACCTGTCTCATAGCAATTGTATGAGAAAGTGGAAGAGTTGCCAGTCTTGTTGATTTGTTGTCTTCGGTATTATGGTCTCGTTTAACAAACCAGTATTAATAAAATTGATGCTTTTTTGCGTATTTCCAAAACTGGTTCGATTTACTTTGATATTTATTTCATCTTATTACTTACTTTTGTTAATTTTAATTGACGTAACAAAGGAAACCATCCTAGGAGGGGGGTGGGGTCAAATTTTATTTTCTTACTTTTAAATTAGGCAATTAGCAAACAGTTTTGATGTGTAAGGAAAATAAGTAATTGTAGTAGTAGAGGGGCCTATATTAATCCTCGGGGGCGCTGTATCCCTCCGCCGTAGTTACGCTGATGATAAATTATTGTTTTTTTTTTTTACATTTTCCACAGATGCCGAATGCGTTTTGGATTCAAAATGTTTACCATTAGCTATTGACAAGGAGCATCCTGGGGCAAAGAGGTAGGGTATATAATTACATTTTGGTGTTGAATATTACGTTTAATGATCTTTGGATTGTTTCAGGATTGCGCTACTTGTACATGATTACCACGACATGTGCCAAGGACCTCACCCATCCCTGAACGGCGTACACACACTGGCTTGTCGTCTGTTGGAAAAAAGTGGCTACTCCGTGCTATCGATCCCTTACAATGAGTTCAATACGAGCGATAAGTTACTAAAGCGAGTCGAGTATTTGCAAAGAATGTTCAAAGTCATTGTTAGTGGAAAACCTTAGTTGTACATAAAATTGGTTTCATAAGATCCAATTATATAGAATTCCATGAACAGAAAGGAAAATAAATCACACCCACAAACAATACGATTTGTTTTCAATTGCTTGTTTAAACATTGCTTCCGTTTAGTCCAACTTGCCACCAGTTTCCTGACTCGACAAATACTTGATCAATCTCTCGTAACTGTTTGAACGCCGATTTGGATAGCGCATGCTTATTCTTGATGTCCTTTATGATACTCTTTTCGTAGTAAAGTTCGAGGTTTACTATCTTCAAGTGGGCTCTAGCTTCACCTTCGGTTAGACATATGCAATTCCACGGTGCCCAATCTTTCGCAATATTCCACCGAGGAAGTCGCAGTTCAGCTCGATTAGTTTCATTAGAGATTGCCGAGTGACCGTGCCAGATGTTATTCACGATATGCTTGATGTCGTTGTCTTGAATAATGAATGCGAATGAAGACAGGGCTCCACGCTTTTTCTCATCTCGTCGGATAGAACGCAAGATTGAACGATAGATAGCTATGTCGACGGCTGGTCCTTGAAGGTCGGTACATCTTTCACATATACTGGCTGATGTTAAACGTGTATCCAATGGAAATTTTGATATCGGTCGCACTCGGCTACATTTTTTGCAGAGCCGTGAATTAGATTCTAAAAAATAATCAACATTTATATGGGCTAAAGTCAGGGTATTTAAAACATTAGAATACTCTTGCTATCTGTGTCTTCCGTTTTATCTGTTGAAATAATGTCCATCAAAAGGGTTAACTGACGTTTTCTTAGTAAATCCAATCCTGTTTCCTTCACATTACATATGAGCAATTGCCTTTCACGTTGTAGCAAAGTTTCCAGCTGCGAAGAAAGGATAAATATTAAAAATCTTTATTTATTCATGCCGACATGAAATCAATTCATCTTAAATTAGGTGCTCCAGTTAGTACTGTAGGCGCCAGGGCTACGGATTCGGTTAAAAACATTCCCCCTCCAACTCCGACTTTTCAAAAATATGTCTGTCGACTCCGACTCCGATTCGAATGAATGTGTTATGATGGAAAATGTTGGGTGATTTTCAGTAATTCAAGCATGAATTAAAATAGATGCATACAGTTATACGTTAGCAAGTAATGCTGGATAAACATTACTTTTAAGGTGATTCCTTGTAGAGTCCACAAATGGCCACCACGTAGGCTATACATGCACTTCCACTTCGAATTTTCAATTACACACATCTCGGAAATTGATGCCCCATTTTACCTGAAATTGCTACTTCATGTATGCTGCAGAACAGCAAACGTTGAGTAACAGTTCCATTGTAGTTCGTATCGTAGAAGCTCATAATTGTGCACTTAAAGTTTCGAAGTGGTTACGAGAATAAGGATCTCACAGCGAAACACCTTAAATGGATACACCGTGTGGTGCCCGTTTACCACGTAATGGAACAACATTAATTTTACAACGTACTAATCATTTTTCATAGGTATACAGTCTACACTGGCTTGACGAAATGGAAATGGAAATGGAAATAAAGTAAGGGACCGATTTTGACAACATACGATTTTTTGTTTAAAAGCTACTTTTTTATGGTGGATGTCGCGAACACCGCGAACAGAACAATACACAATTCACCAGCTTGAGCTTGAGCTTGAGCTTGATTGACCGTCCACGGTTGCTACTCTGTTACTGCCAGATCAGCTGTATTTACACAGAGAACCAATAGACGATGCTTGGGACTAGCAATCATCCTCAATGTGTAAAAACTGGTGATCTTAAATTAGGCAATACCAGCGCCGGCCGCGCCCGAACACAGGTCAAGAAAGGAATGGGAAGGATTGTGTTGACATGACACTCGCTTTGATGGAAGCCGAGAACACCTCTGCACTTCCACGAGTAATCACTGGGATGTTGGATAAGAGGGTTGGGTTTACAGCAGGGTTCGTTTTGGTAAACGATAAGCTGAATTGATGTCCTAACGATCATATAACGCGAAGGAGCTTGGGACTAAACCCACGGTCTTCTGCTCAATAAGCAAAAACGTTTGCCACTAGGCAGACGAGCACCTTTTTAATCACCGAGTTGCTGTTATTACCATGTAGTCATATTAACAAATAAAACGATTGACGAATCTTGAATGTGGATGGGCCTGAGATTAGACTCATGATGTTCTGCTCAGTAAGCAAAAACGGTTGCTCTAAGGCCACCGAGCCCCTCATATCACATAATACCGTTGCTCAAATTTGTGTATCCATTCAAACCCGGAACCAACGACAACAACGAGTTTCGCAAAATACACGATACACAAGCGATTTTACCATAGATCTCTTTGATATGTAAGGACCTGGGACCACGTTTTTCTGCTCAGTAAGCAGGTCACTGTAACCGACGATCTTGCAAATCCGAAAACTAAAAACTACGAAATAGTACTTAGGCCTTCATTAAGTTCCACTTTCACGCGACGTTCAATGACAGGGTCCTATCCAGGATTACATCTGAAAAATTCAAATCTGGCCAACGCCCACCCTAAACCTAAACCTGTTCTAATCCACCTGAAATGACTAACGAATAGAAGACTTTGACTACCCAGCCATGCAATAGTCTCATTCCGTGCCTTATGGCAACTTGGCAACCACCCAGGGGAGACTTGGTCCTGTACCCAATGCTTAACTTATCTCCATTCCGCTCAGCTACTCGCAATTTCTTGTGATATAGTGGGCGGAATATTATTATATGAGACAATTCAATGCAGACGTCTTTCCAAATTTGGCAGATCGATAGGTAATCGGTGAGTTACCACGATAGTTGCTATTCAACAACTCGACAACGTCCCATCGTCAACGTCTGCTATGAGAATTTCCCATTGCAAACGCCAACGAAATGACGTCATCGAGCTATCGATCAACTACCCTGGTTATCGCCTGGTACCTTATAGCACGATGCTAGGAGGCGTACCGGAAGAATCGATGAGCTACCTCTCCCCCAGAACAATACACAATTCACCAGACGAAAAACCCACACAAATTATATTGTACCACACATCACACAACCAACAGATATAAATACGACCAGCATCCCGGCCAAGTAATCAGTTCAAACCAAACTATTGTATCATCTACACGTGACATACACAACCGGCCAAAGTAGCAAAGCAATTTCATTTTCTCCCTCCGATCGAAGCCACCCTAACAGCCTTTGTCAAGGCTAGAGTTTAGAACTTTCTCACCGTAAACCAGAACCAGTGACCTACCCCAGATCATTCCATTCTACCGTTGCCAGGTGTGAGAGCTATCGAAGAGGATTCCGTGGCGCGGACATATTTTTGGTCTTTCGAACCGGATCGTTGAGATCATTCGAAGCGGAACCAGTGCAGTGGCACTAACGTTGCGCATTGTCATCCATTTGCCGTCGCTTTGTTGCGACCCCACAGCTACTGCTGTAGATTCAACACATTGTAGTTTCATTTTTATACCTGTGATCTTGACTTTTTTACCTAGGGGATGAGTACTTAAGGGGGTTAGATTTTGATAAGTTCTTTAGTGGGAATGACACTGATGAAGACTGCACATTGTAGTCGAAATACGTATCTGTCATGGATACCAAAATTAATTAAGTGGAATTAAATGGAAGATACCCTTTTTTCCTGTTTTATTTAAGTATTCCGCTAACAACCCAATTTCATTACTTCATAGTGTAAGCAACTTTTAAGGAGTGGTGGAGTGAATCATCATCGATATTGATCATTTCGCTTGGGTTGTGGTGGTGATCGGTGGCCTGCTTTTGTTACGTGGCGTTCCTAGTAGGCGAAATGACTTCGCTTCGGGAGCGGTCTAAGATATTGAGCGTCACGGTGGACGCTATCAAGACCATCGAAAGCTTCGTTAAAAACTATGATGCCGAGATCGATCAAAGCAAGTTCGGCTCAAGATTAATTAGACTTGATACCCTATATGACCGATTCATTGATGCATCTATTGTGGTGCAGTTAATGCAGAAACAAAAGCCTCTGTTCTGAGGAGTCGCAACGAAATGGAAGATACCTACTACACACTGCATGATTTTCTCACTGCACACAAATTAGACTGTCATGTTTCAGTATCCGCTACCCCCTCACCCATGTCTAATTCTGTAGTGCGCTTACCGAAGATCGATCTGCCGACCTTTGATGGTGAGATCGATGGCTGGATCCCTTTCTATGACACATATCGCAGTCTGATCCAAAACAATAAGGGTTTGGCTGCTGTGGATAAGTTCCATTATCTGATGGCTGCGTTGAAGGATCCAGTCAAGAAATTGCTCGACACGACTAGCGTCACGGGGGATAACTACAAGATCGCTTGGGATCTGTTTGTTAGTCGGTACGTCAATAAATGTCTGCTGATTAAAAATCACATCAGTTTGTTGTTCGCTATTGAACCTGTGAGGAAGGAATCTTCTGCCGCGATATTAGCCTGGGTTGACCAATTCGAACGTCACGTAAAGATTTTAACTCCCTGCTGGTACACATGTTGTGTAGTCGTTTGAATAAAAGCATCTAGAGGGAATGGGAGAGGTCAACAGGCAGCGATAAGGAGAAGCTTCCAACATACAGCAAACTGATTGTCTTCTTGAAAGATCAAGCTTGGATCTTATTGTCCCTGAACAGTGGTAGCTTGATACCCTCCCCTCCAAAAGACAAACCACGTCTCTCTGTTGCTCATACTGCAAAATAATCTCCATCAAAATCTTTCAGATGCATCGTGTGTAATCAACCACATCGGATTTACGACTGCGAGGTGTTCAAACGGATGCCAATCGAGCAAAAGCAAGACACCGTCCGCAAGAAGAAGCTCTGCTGGAATTTGTGTCGTCGAGTCATCTCAGCCGTGACTGCTCTTCCGAACCCTGTCGGAAATGCAACGAGAAACACCACACACTGTTGCATTCTTCCTCCCCCAACGATTGTTCCATCCAACCCCAAGTAAAACCACCACCTGGAAACCAACAACCCACCACCATCAACGGAAGCGAAGCCATGGTTTCGGTATCGTTGTCCACTCCAATTCCACCATCACCAACCACCTCGTCCGCCACCCACCAACCTCTCACCAACGCATTAGCTGCAGCAAGCTCTTCCACCACCACCTACTCGACTGTTCTGTTATCCACCGCCGTGGTAAAGGACCACGGTCCGTCGGGGAGATCTACATTTGTTCGGACCCTGCTGGACTCCTGTTCCGAGTCAAGCTTCATCACCGAAAGAATCGTTCAGCTTTTGGGATTGAACCGACGAAAGCAAGCTGCAATTATCGCTGGAATGGGTGGTTCTATCATAGAGGTAACTCTAAGACTAGAAGGTCCCGAAATAACGTGCTCAACCTTTTGGCTCAGCTCTGGTACTCTCTACGGTCCCAAGCTAATCGATTCACCCCTCGAAACATAGGAAAAACCACTAGCCCCTCATTTTATCTGTCAAACTTTCATAGCGAATCAAAACAAACATTGCGTAGTACTAGAATTTCAACTTGAATGGGGTACGTTAATCGTTTAATTGGGACCAATAGGCTAGTCAAGTAGTGAGCCAGTTTAAAATCGTTAGTTTCGTATTGATTGTTGGTTCTACTGTCAACAGTACCTACTGCACCGTGGCAGATTTCAGTTCTGTTAATTCTTCTACTCTAACACATTGACGTTCAGCATCCTCTCCAAGATCACCAAAGATCTGCCTTCTCGGGCAATCGACATTTCGCAATGGAACCTCCCTCCTGAGTTAGTCTTGGCAGATCCAGATTTCGCTTCGCCGCAAAGGATCGATAAGCCTGTTCTCCAACGTACCGTGCTCGGATGGGTAGTAAGTGGACCGGTCGCCATCGATATCGCTA